GAGAGAGAGAGAGAGAGAGAGAGAGAGAGAGAGAGAGAGAGAGAGGCCTTGCACTTTTTTTCTTTTTGGGCGGACCTTTTTTTTTTTTTTTTTTTTGCGCCGCATCGGGTGCGATGCACGAGGTGCACCAGACGTGCGCTGAGGCGCCGCAACTATGGTCTTACTTCATATACACCCTCACACTTCCTTCCATGTGGCCGAAGGCTCCCTTACCGGCACCGATTGCTCCGATACCAGAGGATCGACCATCAGGTTGCCCTCTGAGGCCCACTGACTGAACCTGTCAAATTTGCTTTGAAAAAAAAAGAGAGATAAGAACTGGGGCAACTTAGAATCTGAGGATTTAATATTTATCCTTGAGTGCTGCTACACAGCCTGTAGCGGGACTTGTCCACCTATTGGCTGGCATCTCAGCGTTCTTTTCCATCCCACTTCCGAGTTGTGCCAGTCCTTCCACCATATGCGTGAGTCTTTGATCTCTGCCACTCTGTCATCATCTGCCAACCAAACCTTGGTGAATCGTGCTAGAATTCTCCGCTGTTGGTCCACGTCCTCTGGCATAGAAAGTCTTCTTTTGTGCCACTTTCATAAGATCTCCGCCTGAATCAGAGTCCTCGTCTCCGCCCACAGCCTTCTCCCTTGGAGCGGAAAGGCAATGAAAGCCCCTGAATGGTTCTGCAACGCCTTTCTTTCCAGATGGACTCCAGGTGTATCGGAATACATATAAAATTATAAAATTCCCAAATTCTCAAACCAATTGCAAAAAAAAATCTGGGGAAAATATATGTTATGAAGTGTTGCAATACGGATGACTTTCGCCTGAGGGTGATCCGGAAATTCATAACCAAATTCAACTTAAATTTCTCAAAAAAAAAAAAAGTTTTTTTTCTTTGGGGTGGTCCTGGAGGGGAATGCTCCCCTTGCCTGCAACAGGCTGCACGGGCCATTTTCAGGCCCGTGTCGTTTTCAGCCTTAAAGCCTGAAAACGAGGGCCTACAGACCCCGTGTTGTTTTCAGGCCAAAAGCCTGAAAACAAGGGCCTACAGGCCCTGTGTCGTTTCAGCCTGAAAGCCTGAAAACGAGGGCCTACAGGCCCTGTGTCGTTTCAGGCTAAATCAGGGCCTTTCCGGCCCTGAGTATTTTCAGCCTGAAACTGAGGGCCATTTTCAGGCCCTCRTCAGWTCGACCTGCCCTGAAACTCAGGCACCAGACCAGGGTTTTAGCTCAGGCCATTTTTGGCCTATTTTCAAGACAACCTTCGTTTGACCTTCAACCCCAGGGTCTGACACGTTTTGGCATTGGCAAGAGCAGCCTTCTGGACGGGCCAGCACTATATAAGACTGGCCCGCCCTGCAGGCTGCAGGTAGTTGGGAGGTAACTCGTAGGTACTTCCCAGGCACTTCACGTGCAAGGCAGGAGGCAGTAGTCTTCAGGATTCGGCAGCAGCACTCTGGAGGGAGCGCTGCAGGAGTAGTGGTAGCGTTAGCACTAGTCTTCAGCGCTGGGCGCCAGTAGGTAGCTGTATTCTTCAGCGCTGGGCGCCATAGCTAGGGTAGTACTAGAGAGAGAGAGAGATTGGGCGGAGGCCAGGAGTACCTACCTGCAGCGCCATAGCTCCAGCTTCGTCTTCGACGTACCTGCAGCACAGCGCCAAGCTCTTCTTCTTCCTCTTCTCAGTCCACCATCCCCCTCTCACCCTCTCATTATCTGACTTCACTGCATCAGCAGACTACGAGAGAAAGAGAGAAAGAGAGCTTGGTGACATTGGATCCAGACTCGACTTTTGGGCTTCAGACATTTCGACGAGGGATTATTTGGGACTTGTGACAAAGACTTGGTGTTGACGACACTCCCATCTCTCCCCCTCTTCTTCGTCTGATCCCCTCCTCTTTGTCTGTGTATGTCTGGACCTGGCGCTTCCTTCCTGTGTATAGCGCCAGGCTCCTTCACACCTTGTGATGGACACGGTGTATGTTTGGTCTGCGTTTAAACATTGATTGGGCTAGTCATTAGCATTCTAGCATTCTGCTTCGCTATCTTGTACTACGTGAATGAGGTCAGTCCCGGTCAGGTCAAGATTTGTATCTAAGTCTTCCCTGGGCTATTCAGCACCATTTTGTATGTATCAGAATGCACATTGCTT